TTCATTCTCTCTCACCCGTAAGAAAAAGCCCGTTATTTGATCAGCACTCGGCCCTTCCAGTCATGCAGCTCAGAGCCCCGATCCTCACCCTCTCTGCCTTGAGTTGCAGGGATCATCTCTATGCTGCTTCCCACCTGGGTGCCTTAGCAGCCTGCCCTTTACTAGGAATGTCCTTCTTTTATTCTGGTTCTTCTTCAAGATTCTACACAGGCATCACTTCCCTTCTTTGCCTGTGCTGAATACTGACCCAGAAGCTCTGGAGACCTGAAGTCCCTAATCTGTGTACTCATCACATCGTAGTGAAACTATGTGTTTATCAGGCTTCAGCCTCCATATCTTTAAAGGTTCCAAGCCTAGTGACTGTATTTTTCACATTTTGGGTGATAAGCATTGTATAACAGAGGGGTCACTGAGTTCACTAAGAGGCCAAATTTCAAACCTGGACTATCTTCTGTGGCTGGAGACTAGTGGGGAACTTGGGAACAGCTGAAGGGGTAGGTTATTCCTTTGCAAATACTGGCACCTTGTGGCCAGATCCGGAAGTGCAGCCAAATCTCACCTCCCAGGTGCAAGAAAGGACCAAACTGGGATTGACGATGCTGGACAGAATCAGGCCTGATCCCTGAGCGCCAATGGTGGTCCAGAAAAATAAGAGGGAGAGGGGAGGCAGACCTTATGGAGGGAGCCCTCATAGCCCAGTACTGGTGTCCTTTTAACTGAGTTTCGGGCCTCTCTGGAGGCACAAGGGGTTAAGCACCGCACTATGAAGCAATCCACAGCCTCTGCAGCATGAGAGCTCGATCCCCGGCCAGCCAGAGAGAAACCCACATGGCGCAGCAGACCTCTCCTGCCTCGCCCGCTGCTCCTCTCAGCAGTGTATTTTAGTCAGTCTGCCTGTTCTGCTCCCCACTGTGTCTCTGGTGAATCCTCTCACCCCCCACACCTCTGGCCTGTACCCCAGCTCTTGAATGCGTAAATAAATAAATATTTTTTTAAAAAAACACTTGCTGACTTTCAAGCAAAGGTTAATAGCAAAGGCTGAGAGGTAGACAATCTCATGGCATGTGAAGAGTGAGGAGTTCATGTGGCCAGAGCCTAGGGTCCAAATAGACCAGGAAAAAGATGGACTGAGCCATGGCAGTGACTGAGCAAGAGTTCTTTAAGACCATGCGGTAGATGGATTTGGATCTTGTCCTTCTGATTGGACACAAGGAGGTGAAGAAAGCAGGTCTAGGTATGGAAACACACTTGGAAGCTTAATATTCATTCATTCACTTATCTAGTATTTATCAAGCACCTACTATGTGTCAAGCAATGTTCAAGCTGTTTGGGTTACTTCGGTGAACAAAACAGATTCCACTCAGAGCTTGCATTCTCATCAGGAGACAGGCAATAAACATTTTAAGGAAGTAAATTATAATTAGAAGGAAAAAAAGAAAACATGAGGGGAAAGGGGCAGAAAAACGAAGTTAAAAAGTGCTTGACTGAAATATTAAATGGAGTGCTCAGAATAGGCCTCATTGAAGAGACATTTGAACAAAGAATTGAAGGAGGGAGGAACATCTGGTCGAACAATCTAGACCAAGGACCAGCCCGTGGTTTGGAGATCTGAGGGACAAGAAGCAGGGAGACCAGTAAGGAGAATAATACAAGATAATGAGAGACTGTGGGAATGAATAGACCTAAGAAGTGAAACTAGCAGGACTTGGTGCCTGCTTGAATACAGGAGGTACATAACTCCTGCAGTCATACTGTTCTCAAGTCTCCATTTCAAGGCTAACAAACCCTCCATACATGCTACCGCTAAGGCAGGTGATAAGAATACTCAGTTCATCCATCCTGGATAACTCAACCCACCTGGATGCTTATCCCTCCCTCCCCTGCCTCTTAAACACCTCGACCTCATCATTAATGACTCCTCTAGACTGCCCAGCTATCTATTCTTTTTTTAAAGATTTACTTTATTTATGCATACGAGAATTGGGGTACAGGCCAGAGGTGCAGGGGTGGTGTGTAAGGATTCACCAGAGACAGAATGGGGAGCAGAACAGGTGGATTGACTGAAATACACTGCTGAGGGGAGCAACAGGAGATAGTAGAGGTCTTCTGCGCCATGTGGGTTAGCTCCCTGGCCAGGGACTGAAATCATGCTGCAGATGGCTTCACAGTGCTAAGACTTAACGCCTTGCGCCACCAGGGAGGCGCCCTAGCTATCTATCCTTTTGCCCACAACCAAGTCCTGTCAGCTCTTAAATTCTCAAACTCCCTGACCCCATCTCATCCTTTTGCTAATAATGTTATGAGTTGAATTGCGACACACACCCCTTCTGAAAAAAGGCTTATTAATGTTCTAACTCCTAGTACTTCAGAATGTGACCTTATTTGTAAATAGTTTTCTCAGAGGTAATCAAGTTAAAATGAGGTCAAAGGGCCCCAATTCAATGATCTTCTGAAAAAAAAAAAAAAGGAGAAAGTTGTAAACAGAAATAAACACACAAAAAAGGAAAATGAATGACATCATGTAGGGTAAGGTAAAAAATCAGTCTTTTCTGCCCTCCCGCCATCAGGATAGATGAGGGAACCCTGTGATCTGGAATGCATGCCTGATGGCGGGCACCTGAAGTGGGCACACCTGAGCTAAGACTGTGCTTTTAAGGGCATTGTTACGGGGACGCCAGTAGAAGCCGAAAGAGAAGAAGCCCGAAGCAGAAGCAGAGAACACCAGAGAGCCCAGACAGAGTGAAGATTTGCTGGGGGCTGGGAGGATCTGTCCTCCCAGCCCCCCTGCCTGCCACGTACCCGCTGAACCCCAATAAAAGACCTGCAAAAAACCACTGAGGACTCTGACTCCTCCTTTACCCGGTCTGCATGGGATCAGAAAACCTGCACTGTGTCCAGTCCTGCCCTTTACACATCAAGAAACCAAGAATGCCAAAGACTGCAACCCAGCCATAAGCTAGGAAAAGTCAAGGAAGGATTTCCTACAGTTTTCAAGAGACTGGCTGCTAACACCCTGATTTCAGACTTCTAGTCTCCACACTGAGAGAGAGCGAATTTGTTGTCATTTGTTATGGCCTAGAAGCTGATACAGCTGAATCACTTCCACCTACCTCCACGACTGTCTCACCACCTCCACCGGCCCCTCCCCTGCCTCCAGCCTGGATATCGTAATGGGACCTCCAGGCCGCTGACACCCCACCCCCTTCCCCCCACCCTTTGGATTCCTCAGTCCTTTGCTACACGCACTCTAAGTCTCCTCACTGTTCCTCCCTTATTCCTGCTTGTCTTAACCCAAGTCTGAGGAGTGCAAAAGTGCTTTCTCTGAGTCATCATCTGTCCTGGGTCCTGCTGGAGCGCACACCCCCTGACTGATGACACAGGTTCACGGCCCGCCCCCCTCCAACTGGGCCTTCAGCCCTGCCTGGTCATCCTCCTATCGCCCCCTAGTTACCTCTCCCAATCCAACATCTCACACCTTTCCCACCAGCCTGAATTATCAGCTCCCTCAAGTCTCACCCTCACCCCCAACTCCACCCGCATGCATACCTGCCCTCAACTTCTTCCTGCCTGTTAACAGGACCTCATGCCTCTTCTTCCCTTTGGGACCTCCTTCCCTTCCACCAGCTCAGGAGTCTCCCTCTAGCAGATTTCCACCATCTCTTGCATCTTTAATCTCTTTCCCCATTGGCTTCCTCTATCAGCCTACAAACATGGTCAAGACTCTGCTAATTCATTGAAACAACTAACATCTAAAACTCCATATCCCACTGTCTTTTTTTTTTTTTTTAAGATTTATTTATTTATATAAGCACTGGACACAGTCAGAAGCACGGGAGGGTGAGAGAATTCGCCAGAGCTGGGAGCAGAGCAGGCAGAAGGACCGAAGGACACTGCTGAGGGGAGCTGCGGGCGGCAGGAGAGGTCTGTGCGCCATGCGGGACCCTCGCCCGGCAGCCGGGGAGCAGCCGGGGATCGAACCGGCGCTACCGGCGCTACGGAGGCTGCGGGCAGCTTCACAACCCAGCGCTCAACCGCTGCACCACCGGGGAGGCCCTTTATCCCACTGTCTTTTCCAGCTGTCTTTCTTCCTATTTACAGCCCTACTTCTGGAAATAGCTGTCTCCATTTCCTTGCCTGTTGTTCCACAGAATAGCCTTTTCTAAGAAACTATGGAGGCAGAAGTCATATTGCAGTGGATTAATGAGAAAATAAGATATTGAATCAGCAATTACACTCAACTTTAACATTCCCTCCTAAGCTCAGTCAAGGTTTTTGCCTCTTGCTCCCTCTCCGCAATTCCTCTTGCCCAAAGCAGCCTAGCAGGGGCCTGCAGGGGGCAAGGGTTGAGGAGCTCCCAGAATAATTGGCCATTCTCTCTCACAGCCTGTGGTCTATTCCCCCATTCTCTGAGCTGCAGATCCTGTTTTTCCCAAAGGAATTTGACCCCAGCTCAGTACCCTTTCTGGAAACCCCAAGTGCAAATGGTGGTGGGAGCACCCTGGTGGCCCAAGGGGTTAAGTCTCAGCACTATGAAGCTATCCTCAGCCACTGCAGCATTTTGATCCCCAGCCAGGAGCTGACCCACAAGGCTCATTAGACCTCTCCTGTCTCGCCTGTTGCTCCCCTCAGCAGTATATTTCAGTCAGTCTGCCTGTTCTGCTCCCCACTCTGTCTCCGGTGAATCCTCTTACCACATCTCCCCCACCCCATCCCTGTACCCCAATTCTTTTTTTTAAGATTTATTTATTTATTTATACAAGCACTGGGTACAGTCAGAAGCGCGGGAGGGTGAGAGAATTCACCAGAGCCAGAGCGGGGAGCAGAGCAGGCAGAAGGACCGAAGTACACTGCTGAGGGGAGCAGCGGGCGGCAGGAGAGGTCTGCGCGCCATGTGGGACCCTCCTCCGGTGGTGGCCAGGGAGCAGCCGCGGATCGATCGAACCGGTGCTGCAGAGGCTGCGGGCAGCTTCACAACCCAGCGCTCAACCGCTGTGCCACTGGGGAGGCCCCTGTACCCCAATTCTTGTATGCAAAAATAAATAATTAAAATAAAAACAAGTGCAAGGGGGGCCTCAATGACAAGCTGCCCAATAGGGAGCCCCTCCTAGGACTCCCAGGGCTTGCAATGCCACCTCACTGAAGCACTCCTCCAGCATGGGTCACCATGCTGATTCCATATGATGGTTCCACCCTGGCCACAGGGGTTGGATCAGGATGGGATGCTGAGAGATCATCTTCAAGTGGCCTAAGCTCTGAGGACTCAAGAGAACTGTTTACTGTAGAAGACACAGGAAAAGGCATTATGTGGAAACTGGGAGGGGAGAAAAACCCTGAATTAGCTGCCAGGAGAATGGGGAGTCAGTTACTGGTAGCAAGACACCCAAGTCACCTCCAGAGCCTCCAGGAGTGTGTTAGATGCTCTCTGACCCTCTGCATTTGAGAGGCTTGGCTGAGCAGCTGCTGATACAGTTTCCCCCATCTCTCCTAATATCCCTGAAATCTCTATTACCTACTTCTTCAGGGCCTTCCACATCACTCTGGACAACCTACTTTGGGGAAAAAAAGTCCACAGTGTTCAAAGTTTTGACCACAGCCTGCTGGCCCTGTGGTTCCCTCAGCCCTGCTCTGGGCCTCATTGAGGACTCCAGTTCCCTAAGGCCCTCCACTGCTCAAGCAGGCCCAGACTCAGCCAAACATCACTTCAACTCTCAAATTGTTGGGCCTACTCTGCCACAATGTAAGCCCAGAAAGGTTCCAACTTTGTGCTTTCCTGGTAACTGGACATCAAGGCTACATAATCTAGTAGGAGACCCGACAGACTCAATTCTTCACTTCCCAGTCTTGCCCTGGTTCCCACAGCTCCCTGCTACGACTGTAACATTCACCTCAGGCCCCTGACCTAGCATGGTGAATCTGAGACCAAGGCTCAAGTGAGAAACAGAGCAGCAGGGGGTGAAAATGCAAGCATGAAATCTGGAGGGGACATGTCTACTGAGGTTTTTGTTTTTAAAGATTGACTTATTTATGTATAGACCTGGGGTGGAGGCCAGAGATGTGGGGGTGGAGGGGAAGATTCACCAGAGACAGAGTGGGGAGCAGAACAGGCAGATCCACTGAAATACACTGCTGAGGGGAGCAGTGGGCGAGACAGGAGAGGTCTGCAGCACCATGAGGGTTAGCTCCCTGGCCAGGGATCAAACTCGGGCCGCATCAGTGATAGCGCTGAGCCTTCACCCCTATACCACCAGGGGCCCTGCGGTATGTTTTAAAGATAGGAAAAAGCATGTTTGTAAGCTGAGTCATTAATAATAGCAATTAACATTTATATAACATTATATGCCCTGTATATTTCTACACTTAATCCTCATAACAACCCAATGAGGTAAGCATTATCATCCTGTTTTATGGATGAGAACAGTAAGATACAGAGCAGTAACTTGCCCAAGGTCACAAAGAATAGCTGGATAATAACTGCCAAAACCAGGAGTCAAATCCAAAAAGTCTGGTCCTGAGACCATAATCTTAACCACCATAATATATGCTATGGATAAGAAAACTGTCTAACCTGGCAGAGTTCCTTACCAGCCCAGAGCAGGTGGCACAGAGCCACCCAGGGGTGATATTCAGGTTATTCAGGTTACTGCTTGAGGCTTTTTATTGACTCAAGGGCCTCCCAGCACCAAACTGGGGGGGTGGGGGGGCAAGGAGCTGGCTGCTCTAGGGCAGGGACACCCACTCCCTTAATCCCACATCCACACACAGTAGGCCGAGCAGAGGCACACCAGACAACAGGCAAACCTTTATTTCCTAGTCCACTCCCTGAGCCTCTGTCAGATGGCAGATCAGAGGCACTATAGGTGGAAGGCAGAGTAAACCCTTCTTAAATAATCCAGAACCCAGCAGACACTCCACACCTGTCACTCTTCTTAGCAGTCCTTTCCACATGCCAGAGGGAAGGAGGGAGGCCCACTTCTACGGACTCCATCTGGCTGGGGATGGTGGGCAGTTACAGAGGCTTCTTGGAGAAGGCACAGTCATCCTAGACTTTCAGGCCTGGAGAATAGGCTCGGCAGGTCCTCAGGACCGGGTTTCTCGAGCCCGTCTTCGGGGCCGGGGGCCACAGCTGGAGGTAGGTGTGGGGCCCAGGCCAGGGGGAGCCCCTGGGGGTTGGTAGCCACATTCATTGGGGTCCAGGGGGTCCCGGCTGAGAAGTACCCACACCGCAGGCACATGGCGGCGGACTGTGAGGGGATCTAGGCCTGTGTCTGGTGAAGTTGGGACCCAACTGTCCTCAGTCTGCAGGAAGCGCAGCTTGGTGAGTTGGTGCAGGCCTGGTACCCGGCGCTTGACAATCTCAGCACAGCTGACAGCCTTCCCTGCTGCCCGGCCAGAACCTGAAAACACCACATGCCTTGCACTGCCTCCTTCCAACCGACCCAGTGCCAGACCCAGCAGGTTTCGGATTTTGCTGCCATCTCGGACTCGCATCTCCAGGGTATCAGGAGGTAGCTGGGGCATCGGGGAAGGTGCTGGAAGCTCCACAGAGCCAGCTTTCCGGTAGTGCTCCATCTGCTTGCTGCCGTCAGAATTCTGATGCCCACTGCAAGTAAGCGTCACATGACTGCTAGCCCACGTGCCCGCTCCCACCCTGCTTCCTCAGCCCAGACTTCTCAGAAACAGGGCCTGAACCCTCACCTAGCTTCTCAGGACAGGGTCGGGCCTGCCTCACTCTGGGAAGGGGCTGTAGCCCATGCGTCCCGTTTCTCCGGAGAGGGCCATAATCCTCCCCACATCCTGGCGTCCCTAAGACAGGGCCAGATTGTCGATACACTGGGTTCTTGGTGACAGGGCCAGGTCTCGGCCTGCCTCATCGTGGGCTCCTCAGGACAGGGCCCCGGGCACGCACTCGGAGTCCCTGAGAACAAGACTGCGCGCTCGCCGCACTGCACCCCCCATCACCGCCTTCCTTCCAAGGACTGAGACCAGGCCTCTTCCCTTCGCGCTCCCAGAAGCCACGGCCAGCCCCTTGCACCCCAGGCACTCGGAGGCAGAGCCAGGCGCCCTCCTCCCGATGCTCCTCAGACAGAACTCCCGCCCCGCTTCCGGATCCCCGAGCCAGAGCCGGGCACCCCTCACCCCAAGATTCCCAGGGCCAGTCCCCTTCAACCCAGGTCTCTTTCGGCTACCCGCCAGCCTCAGAGGCCAAGGAGCGACCTCCTCTCGCCTCCCCCAACAGCCAGGCGTACCGCACCGCGTTCCGGCTCTCACCACCGCGGCCGCGCACGCCTCCAGCTCGATCTGGGGCCAAGATGGCGCGCGGGCCGGGGGCGCGCCGAGGCCGCGGGGGCGCGCGCGCGGGCGGGGGCGGGGCCTGGGGCGGGACCCGGGTGGGGGCGGGTCCGAGTGCGGTACCCGTGGCCTGGGGGCGGGGCCCGGGGCTGAGGCTGGACCCATGGCCTGGGGCGGGACCCGTGGCCTGGGGGCGGGGCCTGGGGCGGGGCCCAGGGCGGGGCCCGGGTGCTGGGGCGGGACCCGTGGCCTGGGGGCGGGGCCTGGGGCGGGACCCGGGTGGGGGCGGGTCCGAGTGCGGTACCCGTGGCCTGGGGGCGGGGCCCGGGGCTGAGGCTGGACCCATGGCCTGGGGCGGGACCCGTGGCCTGGGGACGGGGCCGAGGGCGGGGCCCGGGTGCTGGGGCGGGACCCGTGGCCTGGGGGCGGGGCCTGGGGTGGGACCCGGACCCGTGGCCTGGGGGCGGGGCCCGTGTCCTGGGGGCGGGACCTGGGGGCGGGGCCCGTGTCCTGGGGGCGGGGCCCGGGGCGGGGCCCGTGTCCTGGGGGCGGGGCCCGGGGCGGGGCCCGTGTCCTGGGGCGGGGCCTGGGGCGGGGCCCCGCGGCGCAGGTGCTGGGACCCACAGGTCGACCTCGGGAACGCGAGAGGCGCGGCAGAGTCGGCGATTAAGCCCCTTGCAGGGGTGGAGAGAGCCCCGAGGATGAGAGGCCCGGCTGGCAGAGGAGCCCCGCGTCCGAAGGACGGGGAGGATTTGGCCCTTAGAGTTGGCAGAGTTGGCGTTACCAGTTGAGCCCTGGAAATAGCAAAAGCGAAGCTGCGGGTTTCACGATGGGCCGGAGGAAGGGGTCCATTTGGAGCGGCTGCTGCTGCGCGAGAGAGAGCCGTGGTCACTGAGATCTCAGCTGCGACCTGGTTTTGTGGGTACTGGCGAGCCTGGGGCGCGGGCGCGGTGCTGGTCGAACCAGAGGTGTGCACACCTCACTCTGGCTCGGCGCAGGTGGGGCGGGGGGTGGGGGTGGGGAGAGGAATCCGGCGGCAGCCACTGGTGACTCCAGGCCATGGGGACCGGGGTGGGCGCTAGTCCACAGAGCTTACACCATGACACCTGGCAGATACGAGGTGCTCACTTATGTACTGAACTATTTGTTTAAATGATCCAGAGAAATCTGGTGGGAATGAAGAGAAGTAGATTAAGTTGGGAGATACTAGGGGGTACATTCTGTGAAGAGTTGGCGACTGTTTGAACGGAGAAGGAAGGGAAAGTCTAGGATGACTCCCAGTTTCAAACCTTTTGGGATGTGTGAGCCCGAGATACCTGACAGCGGAGCTGGGAAGGGGCCTGGAGCCAAAGCGCTGAGACCACAAGAGGGCAGCGCATACTTGGCGGAGAGCGGTGCCCATCAGTCCCCGCCTTCTCATTCTGCTCCCTCCCGCTCCTTCCCATCACCCCCTTCCCCAAACCTAAAACTCCCAGCATCCAAACCTCATCTGAGCACCCCTTCTAGGCTCATAGCATCTGGTAGGCTCCCAAGAGAGAAACTTCGAGGTTCCTCTCTGCCTTTGCTCATGCTGCTCCCTTGGTTCTCAAAGTCCCTTCAGAGCTGTGTCTGCCATCCCTTTTTCTTCTGTGCCAAGGACCCTGTGCCCACCTAGCGGAATTACCCTCTTCTTTGTCTCTCCTGATAGCCTGTGCAGTGGAGGGATCAGATAAACCCTACCTGCATCCTCTCCACCTGGCAATGCAGCTAACATTTAGGGGGTAATTAGTAAACATGGAATGGCTACCTAACTGAATGTCCCCTGGCATCAGTGAAATGAAAGCGTTCATCCAGAGAGCCCTACACCTCCCAGAAAGCCAGACCAAGATTAGTATAGCTCCTGGGCCAACCCCTAGGCAGGCTGATAACTGCCCTCCACCACCCCCATCCCCACCAACATCTCCAGTCTAGACAAGAAGCCAGCACACTCCTCCAGTGACCGCTACTGTTTATTATCACTAGAATAGGGCTCTAATGTGTGTGTGTGTGTGGGGGGGGCGGCAGGTTTTGCAAATACCAAATCTCAAGTAGCAAGACCTCTGTCTGACCTCAGAGCCCCAACAAAGTGGGGGCAGTTGGGCCATGAATCCAATAAATACGGAGCTGCCTCTGCCCTGTTAAAAGGACAGGTTGGCACAGGGCTCTGGAGCCTGGCTGCCCTGGCCTGCCCTGGGGTGGGGAGAAGTCGTCATTCCTCTGCCGGCTTCACTTGCTTGGCAGCCTCTAGTTGGCAAAGTAGCTCATCCCACTGCACAAATTGTTTGGAGAGAAGCATTATCTGGTTGTAGGTCAAGGTGAGAACAGGCATCTGCATAAGACAGATTTTACATCTGCCAAAAAGGGATGAGGTGGGAAGCAGGGGAACATACAGGATGGTTAGAATGGGATGAGAGAGTTAGAGATGGAACAACAGGACAGGACTTTGGACAGCACACCTCAGGGGCTGGGCTGAGCAGAAAGGATACAGTCTTGTTGTATTCCTCCAGCAGAGCCTTGGACTCCTCTGTGATCTCCGTACACTGGTCCTGTGGGGCCAAGATGTGGCAGAGAGAGGAGTTGGGCAAAGTCCTCACTTCCCACCAAACTTTCTGCCTCATCAGGGATCCTCGCTCCCCATAGAGCCTACAAAAAGTGATGTTTAATGTTTAACCCCAGAGTGAAAAGGAGAAAATTGCTAAGGGGACACTTCCTGGCTCCAGACTAGGTGCCCTAATAGTAGTTCAAGGGCTAATGGGAGGGGGAGTGGACCACACATTGAAGGAAACATTCCTGCTTGTATATGTCTCCTTTTCCCCTGCCCCTGATCTCTATACCCTCTTTGAACTTCACAATGGGGTCTCAGAATAGTGAGAAAAGAACTCCAACCATAGTCAAGGCCACACCATCTCCAGGGATATTGGGGTACCTCCCAACATCTGGAGTCTCAGAATAGCCCTACTCTGGGAGATCTGGATGCGGCCCTAGTCAAGTTCCTTCCATTGTCTAGGGCAGATGGGAATAAAGGATAAACCCCCAAATTGCCTCTGTTGCTGACATCGCAGGCGCCTAAGAGTACTAGCCCAAGTGACAGGGGTGGGGACCAGGTGCCTCACAACCTGGACTCTCCCTTCCAGTCCTCTCCCCTCCCCTACCTGCTGCTGGATGTGGATCTGGGCCAAGCGCTGCAGGCGGGCGGCATGTTCAGGAACGGCTGTAAAACACAACGCACACTGCCAGATGATGCCTGTGCCTTCCCTCGGGACTGCTCAATAGTCTATTAGGTCTTCGGCAGGATTAGAGTATTGAGTGGAGAAGCTAAACAAACGCCAGGCTTCATCGACCGCTGCAGCCTGGAGGTGGTGGGGGGGTGGGGTGGGGGGCTCCCTACCCGCCCCAGTCTTACTCTGGGACCCATAGGGATAGGGAGGATACAGGATCCTAGAAGAAGACAAAACCATGGGATCCCCAAAGTTGCCCTGTACCCCCACCCCAATGCTATCAGCAGGACCAGGTAAAGAGAGCTTTGCTGTCACAGGATCTGTCCCTTTGCTCCCAGCCAGGGGGACCAGGTCTGCCCGCCGAGAGAACAGAGTCTGCAGGTGGGTTAAGGATGAACATCAGGTTCCTGAGCTGGCCACCTGAAACCCAACACTCAGAGCCTCAACCACCATACTGGCCCCACAGCTAAAGGCTGTCAGATGCTCAGCAGGTAGTTGATCAGAAGTAGGGAGGGGGAGCTGGGAAAAACACCTCCAGAGACAGACAAGATGGATATCTGGATTCAATTAAAGCCAGTCTGCTTGTCAGAACCCAGGCCAAGGGATCACTCTCAGCAGTGCAGCAGGAAGAATTCACACACCTGGCAAGGGCTCCTACAGTAAAATCTGGGCTCTGCAGCTCCTCATAGGACAGATGAAGGGTGGGGCAGAGGGCAGAGGAAATGCTAGATTTGGAGGTTGCTGGTTTATACTAGTGTCCTGGGTTTACAGTAGGCCCAATTGCCTGAGGTTCTGAAACTGCATACTCTGCCCTGGTGGCAGGCACCTCCAGTGTGAGGTAAAGGCAAGGAGTAGACCCAGCTGAGTCCTGGGAACTTGGGACACCTGCCCAGCCATTCTACCCTCCCCCCCAAACAGAGAAGTGGAGCAACAACCCCACAGAGGTACCTTTGATGTGAGCACTGTCCAGCATGGGCACCAAAGCTTCCACTTGCTCTAGGAGCGCAACCTGGGAGAGGATAAACTGCTCCTCTGAGGGAGAAACAGAAAAGATCATGGCAGCAAGGAAAGTCTGGGCAACGCTACTCTTACAAGAGGATGAGAACCTGCCAGGTGAGAGATCTGGGTGTTGGAACTTTGCACAGCTCTTCTACCCACTGCCCCCTTCATTAGGTGCACATTACCCTCTTCAGCCCCCACCTCTCCTGGATGCCTCTGGTCTGACCCATCTTGAGCCCAAGGAGCCTCTACATTTCTCTAAATCCCACCTTTCTCCAAGCTTCTTCTTGCCTCCTATTAACAAGCTGAGTGAGCCTCTCCTAGGTCCCAGGAGACATGTACCTTCTAGTTACTTCAACTTGGGTTTCCACACCCAAGGGCTCCTGGAAGGTGTAAAAGAGGAGACGGTGTGGCAGATTACCAGGCAGGTTCTGCTCAATGGTTTGGAAAGGCAGAGATAATGACAAGCTCCCAGAAGGCTGGGAGAGGAACGAGAGAGTCCAATGAAGAAAGTGTGGATTTCTATGGTTACATAGTGTGAGAAGGGCATCCAAGAAGGGAGAACATTATGTCAAACATTTGGAAGCAAGAATGCTTGTCAATTAGTAGACAGGAAAACATTTAGTTGGCTGAAGTGAACTGAGGAGAGCACAGGTAACAGCTGGATAGGAGGGTCGATCCACCTGACTATAGAGGATTTTGAATGACACACAAGGGAAGGAAAACTTTATCCTAGCTAGGGGAGACAGAGGCACTGAGGTTCCAAGGGAGACAAAGTAGCATGTGGAGATGTGTTTTGGGAAGATGATAATGGACCATGTGCAAGAAGGGAAAGACTAGGATCGAGAAGAGAACTTAGGTGACTGAGCTGCTCATGTGTGAGGGGTTGAACACCAAGTCAGTGGCAACAGGGGGGAATGGAAGGGCTGGACTCAAGAGTCAGTGGGTCAAGATCTGAACTCAGTGCCTGAGCTACCAAAATTCATCGGGAGGCCCTTTGGGTGCTCTGACAGCCCTCTCATCAGGAGCTGCCACATCCTCACCCAGTCCTCGGTGCTGCACTACTTCTGCCTCAGTCTCCCTCCTAGAGTCTGATCTCCACACTGGGTTACCAGGCTCAGGTCCCCAAAGAAGGGACTCTTTCTCCCCAGCTCTGGCTATACCCACGCGGGCAAGGATGTCTGGCTCGTCACTGCCTACCTCACACCTAGGGTGGCTGGATGACAGCAGATGATCATTAAACATCTTTGAATGAATGAACAAACACAGGTGCCTGGCAAACCCTATCTCATGGAGAATCTGACTGATAACCAGACATTGCCAAGACAATTGTTCCTGCCTAGAACTCAAATTCTGGAGCTTTCTCACATGAAATAAAGATACTAAAACCAGTGCTCTCGCCTCTTCTAAATGCAGTGCTCACGGCCCTCATCCTTTTGTAGAAGCTCCACTATCCAGTAAGCAGAAGTGAAGAAGGTTCTGAGGGAAAATCCTAGAGGAAGAAGATTGATAGAACACTGGAGTAGCTCCCACTGTGCCTGCCAGCATGGCCTGCCTGCAGCTGGCCCAGAAGTATACCACACCCAATGCCTATAGGAGGACCACTGGACCACATTGGCCTCAGTACACAGCCAGGCCAGAATTCCAGAGAGCAGCTTCCAGGGTAATATCCATGGGAAGACTGCCAGGAGGCCATTTTTGTGCCCAACATCCCCACAACCTGCATCCCCAGATGCATGTACAAACTTTGTCTAGTGCTACCTGCTAAGATGAACTGCAGCTTAAAGGCATCAGGTATGGCGATGCGGTCAATGTACTCAGGATCCAGGTATTTGATCAGGTCTTCAACTAGAAAAGTAGCAAGATGGAAAATGGAATACAATTGGGGAGTAAGACTCTAGGTATCAGGGGACTGGTCAGTCTTAGGGAGAGCCTTGAGTGAGGAGCTGTCACTCTGTCCACCAGCAGGCCTCCATCAGGCCTTCCTATCCCCACTTCCCTGTCTCTCCACCCTGATACCTGCTGGCCAACCTCAGACTTTAGAGCTGGAAACACAATGGCCTGCACTACCCTGTGACCCTCAGCATTCCCACTGAACTATCTTAGGGCGAAAGGCCCCTTGCCTCTCAGTGCCACCAAGAGCAGCCAAAGCTTCATCTGATTTCTAGTTACTGATCCTGTTACTTGCTCTGACACAACTAAAAAGGCATGACAGAGCCAAGGCTGTGCCTAATTGCTCTCCTACTTCTGAACCTTGCCTGAAGAAATTCCATTTCCTCCCTCCCTCCTTCACCAAGGGGAGCTTTCAGGCAGAGCTCTAATCCATAACTTAGGACACAGTCATGCGCTTGGAATTCAATCATAAATTAGAAAGCACACCCCAATTAACCCTTTCTTCCCAGTCTATTCCTGAAGAGCAACTCCAGTGACCTACAAGGCTGAAGGGCCAAGTCCCACGAAGCAGAGGTATAGGCACCTCATGGAAGCACTTACTCTTTTTATACAGAATCTTCACCCTCTCCCTCTTGCTGGCAATGTTCCCCAAAGCCACCTGCACCTTGACCAGGCCATCAGCCACCTGTAAAAGTTAATTCCAAGAGGATTCAGTACCTGGCTGAAGGCTTGAAGAGTGAAGAATCCTCATTCCCTTGACTTCTCAGTCCCAGCAATCTAGGTTGTTTCTCTTCTCCAGTATTAAAGAAAATGCAACCCCACATTCAGGGAATCCTCATGTACTCCTTGTGGTGTTTCAAGTATAATTGGGGGAGGCCTATTTTAGAGTTTATGGGGCACTAACATAAGCTATATATATGGTCCCTGCCTTTCTGGCTGAACCTACCTAGGCGTTAAGGTAGAGAGTGAAGTATTCCAATATTAAAGGGCTGAATTGAGGGGCAGGGTATGGAAGTAAATGACCTCACCCAGATTTTAGATTAAAAAGGTGAGGAATGTCAATATTCAAAGCAGCAGCAGCAGCCAAAGTGGTAGGAAGAAAACCAGGAAGGTTAATATAATAGATGGCAAAGGGAGAGAATATTCTAAGAAGTCAGTTCTCAAATGGGGCACAATCTGCTAGTGACAACTAATGCCAATAGAAGTGTACAAACAGACATGTTACCCCTCTGATCAACCTAACTCCAGGACATACCTGACACTTCACCTTCAGCAGAAGGTCTTCCCATATTAAAAGGGGTTGGGAGGGTAACTGAGTTTCACAGTTGTCAGAATTCAATCACCGGTGTGGGGTGCCAGTCCATACCCAACACCCAGCATTCAATCCCTTTCCCTCCTTGGAGATTTCCTTATCCATCTCTGCTCTGCCACCTCTAGGGTCCCACGGACAATTCATTTAATTGTCCCTGCACAATTCATTTAATTAATTATGCAGGTCTCCACGACGCCCTTCCCTTGTAGCATTCAGTGCTTACTGAAACTCTCAGTCAGATTCTCGAGTGTTGTCAGGTCTCCCCAAGGAGCCTGAGAGAACAGAGGCAATCTTGCACAGCCCACAGCAAGAGGACTTAGCCCTCAGAATCCACGGGAATGGGCCCCGAGGATCCGTCCGATACGCCCCGGGAAGTGTCGAACCTTTGTTATTGCAAATACCAGGCTGAGGGCGACGGGACTGGAGCGGCTGCATCCATCCCGAGGGCCAGATCAGCAAACCAATCGCCCTCTGCCCCAAAGAGGGACCCCAGATGGACCCCAGATCGCTCACCTTCCGCGAGCCGCGTGACCCGCCCGGTCCGTACACCCAGCGCTCCAGCTCCTCCACCCGGGCCTGCAGCCGCTGCACATCGGTCACGGCCGCCATAGCTACCGCCGCCCGCCTCGGCCAGGGAACAACCCAAGGGCGGGACGTCCGTCCAAATAGAGATGACTGGCCAATCCGAGTACATAGTTGGCCCTCCACGCAGGAAGTGACGCCCCGAGTCAGGGTCTTGGTAACGGAAGTGGCAGGACGGGACCACGACAGCTGTCATAAGCTACCTGGTTACCTAGGCAACGGCTAATCTGTCAGTCCCGTTCCCTAACTTCCAACTCCTGCTGGTCAACTTCTACCTTTCTTTTTCTCATCCCAGGGTACCAGAGAAGTTTCCTCCCCGGCCCCACACCCGGTTCGGAAAATGCACACACACACACACACACACACACACACACCCTTTATTCCAGGATAGTCCACTCCTATAGATCAGTAAAAGGCCCTATGAGACACCTTTTGAAGTTTTCTGAGGTTCGAGAGATTAGATGCCTTGCCCAAGGCCACTCAAAACTGTAGCAGCAGAATCAGGATTTGAACTCAGTCTGATTTTTGAGACTGAGTTCTCTTACTCTCATCTCACGGGCTTTTGCTGTTCTGTCTTCCCCTCTGAGAAGGTAGTCTTTATAGACCACACGACTCCTCCCCAACCCCCAGACAAGAAGAAGAGGCACTAGAGGAGGGACTGCAGCTTTATTGTCCAGATGTGATCGGAGGGACAGCTCCTTCACAACACCCCAACCCAACTCTTCAGCTGGCTCTGAAGAGAAGCAGATCTGACTTCAAGAGGTGGGGTCCTAGCATAAGCGTAACAGTGAGGAGCACTGACAAAGGGGGTGGGGGCGCATGAGGTGATTGGTTTTAATGGGGGAAGAACTCTTTGGTAGATGCTGCTAAAGTTGGCCAGGGAGGATGTGCCCTCCCTTTACAATGAGGTAGATGTAATATCAAAAGAAAACTCTTTGGTTTTAAATCCACATGGCATGGTGGGCAGTGGTCACCTCCCAGGGCTGGGTCCTAGAGTGGATATCCTGGGAGAATTAAGATGTGGGGGGGGCTGTCTCGTCCCCCCTCAGCAATGGGTTTGGAACACTTAATTCCAAGTGGGAGCCCTCAAGGTGAGGTACTGGAAGGGGGTCCTGTAGGGGGCGGGGGTGCAGGGTTGGTTGGACCCTGAGAGGCTGGTACAGGCTGGCGACGGGCAAAAAGGACACCTACAAAGGGTTGAGGAGATGGTATAGGGTAAACACAATCAGGAGGGGGTGGGCATGGAAACAGAAGAAGGAAACAAAAGTCAGTGTCTGATTACTAGACCATCACACATATACCCCATCACAAACCAATGAGGACAAGCCCCTTGAGTTAGTTAAGAGAATCCTATGCTAATGTAGATACCTTAAACAGGTAAGCAAGAAATATTTACATGGATACAGAGGCCCGTTACAAGGCAGACATCCCATGGGACCCATGCCAGAGAGGTCATGCCTTGGACCCCATGCCATGTAGATACCACCTTTAACCCATGCTAGTGTAGCAGCCCCCTGAACCCCAATGTCTCCCATGCAAGTTTGGATATCCCTAAACTTCATGCCAGGAGAGAAAGTCTAAAATCCCCATGCCAGTGTAAATACCCCTGACCTCATGCCAGTGTAGATAGCCTGCAGTACCCATACCAGTGTAGACCACCCCGTTGATCTCTAGGGCCATGTTGATACTGCTGATACCACTGCCTGCCAGACTGAGAGGCCCCTCCAGCCGCTCTTCTGTCCAGGAGGGGACAGGGGAGTCACATTTTATGGAATCAGACTTCAGACTTAAAAATACCTCCCTCCATCCCTGCAGACAACCCTCATCCCACTTCAGTCCCATACCTGTAATGACACAGTTGTTTATTGGGGGATCTATATGCCCACCTCCAACACCTCTCAGGAAATGGATCTGTTCTCCCTCAGCGCACAAGTCCAAAGCCCACTCAGCATGAAGCCCCTTCTTACCCCTCAGGGGAACCTTGCCACGGGGAAGGAAACCAGGCCGAGGTGGGTCCATGGGCCCCATCAGCACAGCCCTCTTCTCTGGGGGCTCCTCTGGTGCCAACTTCTCCCGTACAGGTCCCAAGGCCAGGCCCATGGGCAGTGCCAGTCGAGGGGTTGGAATTGCACTCTCCTCTGAAAGAACAGCTCATTCAGCTACTCTGGTCCAACTAACTCTGTCTCTGCATTTGGTTATTCCCTGAGTGGGATCAAGAGAGGTTACCCAATCCAAGCACCAAGTTCAGTCTCCCCTCCCATCCATATTCTCAGCCTAAATGCATTGAAACTGGAATGGCCAAAGTGTCAATATATATCTGGTTGTTCCGAGACAATTGGGGGAATTTCCTTGCTCTTGATTGTTAAATAATCTAGGTCACTGAAGACACAAACTACGTGCAAATATGAGCCCTGGATGGACAAGTGTGGAATGGAATTGCTGTAGATGAAGCACCTTTTCCTGAACCTGACCCCAACCGCAGTAACACCAGCTTTCCAAGGTTTTGACCTGACAGATACGCCTGTCACCAAACTTAAGAGCCCTGACAGCCCCCTCTACCCCAACACTCAATGCCTCCCAGACCTCAGAATTCCCACCTTTTAATGTTCCCTGCATTTCTGCGCCCCACTAGATCTCAGAGATGTCCAAACCTCCATCCCTCTCCCCTCACACCTTTCTTGATGGGACTCGGGCTCAGTTGCGCGCAGGCGTGCGCCGGCAGACCAGAAGCGGAGCCCTGGGTGGGGCGGGGGCCGGACGTAGGGGTGGAGGGAACCGGGCCAGGGCCAGAGGCGGTGCCCGGAGTGCCTCGAGGGGGCGGCCCTGCCAAACCGAAGATCGGTGCCGCTGTGTAAGCCTGACGACGACCTTCGCGGCGGTTGCTGTCGATCGCGGCCTGGAGCTCCCCTGGGGAGCTGAGCGCCCGTGTCTCGCACTCATACGGGTACAGGTACTTCATGTACCTAGGGTGGACCGGGTGGAGGTGGAATGGGAGGCTGGGTCCAGCTGATCGAGCCCCAGACGCTGGCGCCCCGCCCCAGGCCCCTCCACGCCCCGCGCTCCCTCCCTGGCCTGGCTCTGCCCCTCGCGCGCTTGGCCTCACTGCGTTCGTAGAGTGAAGGCGGCCGAGGTGATGGTGGTGGGCAGACTCAGGCCGCGCGTGACCTCACGCCACACCTTGCGGTTGATGACTTCCACCAGGCCACCCTTAGCAGTCACCAAGCGAAACAGCGCGTACAGGTCCAGCACCTGTTTAGCCATGATGGGCACACGGTTGACTGGCGTTCCTGGTGGGGAGGAGGGAGAGAGGACAGTCAGGACACTAAGACTAAGACCTGGGGGCACCCTCAGACTGGTGGAGGTGACTGCCTGGAGGAGGCGGGCGGGACCTCCAAGAAAGTAGAGGGGGAGGGATGGAGAGAGGTAGCATTCCAGGAACAACCTACAGAGCTGGAAGGACCAGAAGCTCAAACCTGGGGTCAGCAAACTTCTGTAAAGGGCCAGATGGTGTTAAACGACCTCTGTCAGAACTACTCCACGCTGCCATTTGTATAGCCTGAAAGCAGCTATAGGAGATAGTTGAAGGAATGGGTTCAGCTGTGTTACAATAAAACTTTATTGATACACTCTGAAAATCGAATTTCACATCCGGAAATGTTCATCTTTCCATTTTTTTCCATTATTTAAAAATGTGAAAACCGGGGCCGGGGGTGAAGGAGGGTGCATTAAAATAAAAATTTTTAAATGTTAAAATCTTATATCGCAGTGGGGCTAGATTTGGCCCACAGGCTTTATAGCTTGCTGACCCCTGGAATATATCTATAGGAAGGACTTCCTGCCAGGGCAGAAGAGCCCGACTCCCCTAAGCAGCAACCCCGGGGTGGCTGGCAGAGGCCAGGGCATGGTGTTTGGGTAAGAAGCAGCCTCCCCCCACCACCTCCAGCCTCGGCTCGCTGCGCAGCCCGCGCCGCCCCCGCCGGCCAGTCCTGACAAAGGGGCCTGTCTGCGCTGAGCGATGGGCCCCAGTTAATTCCTTACCGATCCCGTCCCCTTCCGCAGCCGCCTTTGGACCCGAACAATTAGCCGCGGCCTGATTAATGGGGGGAAATTATCGGCCCCGGGGGACCCCCTCCCCCTGCGGAGGGAGCAGAGGGAGGCAGGGACCAGAGGGAGGCAGAGCTCCCGGCCTAGGGTGGGAGGGAGTGCTGGGATCCGCTCAGACCACGGTACCCCATCTCCAGGGGACGGGAGACCTCGAGGAAGACACAAGGCGCGGACGCTAGAATCATAATGAACCTCCCTGGGGAGCAACAGGGCCTGGGGACCTATCGAGGGTCCCTGCTAGGAAAGGACCGGAAAAGAATGCTGGACTGGTGGGGGGTGGGGGGGAGCCCGAGGGACTTTGGCCTGCAGCGCCACTAAGGGAGGGGCCGCAGTGCAGCCAGTTAATTAGCGGCTTATCAGGCTGCGCTCGGAGTGAGTTAATTAGCTTTGTAGAGAGAGATAATGAGTCAGTCTTCGGACCCATGAATCTGGGGAGAAGCTGAAGTGATGGACTGTCGCCCACCCTATTCCCCTCCTGGACCCTTTTTGCATTCTCTTCTAGCTCTGAAAAAGAAAAATTCCTGGAAAGGAATTCCTCCTCCTCCACAGTCCCAGCCTATCCCATGAGAAGTCCCTCCTTCAAGCTTAATCCCAGTGCTATCTGCTGTAGGGCACATGGGGTGTTCCCCTGTCTGAAGCCGGGGAAACTGAGGAAAGCCCAGCCTGGAGGAAGGGCCAATGAAAGAGGACCAAGGCAAGCTCAGCCTTCCAGTCCGGAGAACTCCCGGATCCCTGGCCAGCCCCCAACCAGTTCCCCCCTCCCACCCACCCAATTGATCCCACACTCATTAACCTGACAGTGGGCTGGCCACTAATTAATCCCTGGGTGGAGGAGGGGGGCAGGGTCAGAGGTTAAAGACGCTATCAAGGGCCCAAAGGACAGGTGCTACCAAGCTCAAGACTGCAGAGAGAACCCAACCCTGGGACTAAAGCCTGGAGTCTCCCTTGCTTAAACTGGAAGTGGGGGAGGGGGGCATTCCAAGGTCCTCCCCACCCTCATGTAACCCCACTTACCCCTCTTTTGCATGAAGCTAAAGAGGTCATCCAGAAATTCCTTCCTCTTGGGGTCTGCATCAAGCTCGTAGAGCTGGGGAAAGACTGAGGTTATTTTCCAGCTCTGCTGGCCCTCCCTCTTCCCTGTGCTCCCCACTCCAACTCAAAGTGTACCCTGCACAAGGGTCCCAAGCTGAAGGAGTGAGTTGGGTCTGAATGTGGACTCCCTCGTATCAGGTTCTCTTGCCCTGGGGGCAGGTAGGGACACTTTTTCTAATGCTCAGGGAGACCTCACTGCCCTGAGCAGCTCAAAGCACCCATCTGGGGAGTAAGGGAAGAGAGGAAGCTGTGGAGAAAGTCCACCCTCCTGGGCATACACAGAACCCCAGGGAGGAAGTCAAGCTGGGGATGTGTTTCACACTGAGAAAAATGACAGAGACACTCATTCACTCCAAATTATCCCTGCAAGGACTTCTAGCTATGCACAGCATCCCTATGCGCCCGGACTCTAGGGCTGGGGAAGAGAGCAAAGGAGCCTGGAACTCACTGCTCAAGCAGGGAGATGCTCAGAAGCTCCTGGGTACCACGGCCCCCTCAGCCTACCTGATATGATTGCCTTCAGGGACAATGACCTGGTCACTATGGAAGCTGCCTCGGAGGCAAGCGCCCTGCACCATCCAGGTTACGCATCCCCCATTCCACCACCTGTATTCCTTTCCAAATACCTCCCAGGAGGAACAATCCAGTTACGTACCCAGAGTAACAATCCCATAGGCAAAGTCCATCCCCCAATAAGAATTCCCAGAGCAAAAACATACCGGTGAGTAACAAACCCCAGAGGTCCACCTTTAGAGCTGTACTGAATCCTAAGTCTTAGATGAATTCCCACAAGTAACACATACATTTTCCACGTAATAGCCCCTAGAATTATACCCAAGAGAAAGAATCTCTGGAGCCACATCTCCAGAGTGACACTCGCTGTTTTACATTAATACCACAAAACACTACCATAGACAGACACTTCTGCAAAATAGACAAGACAAGCACCCTGTGAGGGACACCACCAGAACAGCAACCCTCCAGTCACTGTCCTGCATAAAACCTCTAGAGTAACAGCCTGGAACAGGATAACATCCAGCTGGGTTCCAGCCTCAGGGAGAAAGAACTTCAAATAAGACCCTGGGAGTAAGTCTTTGTCACTCCCAGATGCACAGAGGTCTGCAGCTGTAGTGGCCACTACAGGCTGAGTTCTGCCACCCATTCAGGTCAGGCAGAGGATTTGGATGGGGGAGAGCAGCAGGGGAGCGGGGGTTTCAGACTGCCAAAGGAATGACGCCTCCATTCTGTTTCTAAATATGACCTTGCAATTTGATGCGTAAGAAAGTAGGCCTGGATGGTGCTGGTACCGGAGGCCACAACCTCCAGATCCCCCTCAGAAGAAATCTGGAAGACTCCTACACCCTGCACTTTCCCTTTCAGCCCACGAAGAGCCTCCAGTCTTTCTGCCTCCAGGTTTCTGGTTTCTCCTGCTCTCCTTAGTATGCCTGTACACTGGGTACAAGGCTCTCGCTCGCTCTCACTATCTCACTATCTGTCCTCCGGTCTTCTCGCTGTCTCTCTCCAGGTCTCTGCGTCTGTTTTTCCATCCTGCAGAGGGCAGTGGAGTGAGGTGGGCTCCTGATCACCTGGTTGTGCTTTTGCGCAGAGGGGAGGAAAGGGGAAGGCCTGACATGGAGGGGGTCCTACCTGCTTGAACTGTTCCTCATAGGTCCACTCATGGGGATGAGGTCCAGGGGGCTGGTGGGAAGGTGAACTAGGGCCCTGGGTGCCTGGACGGCTCTCCTCAGCGGCCTCCTCCACAGCCCCTGCTTCCTCTTCCTCTTCCTCCTCTTCTGCCGTGTCCTCTTCTTCAGCTCCAACCTCACCAAAAGCCCCCTCAGGGGCCTGCAGGGTCCGGTGGCCGGGCATGGGAAGCCGGGGTGACTGCGGTGGGCGTGGAGGGGCCAATGGCCCCACCCCCTGGGCCAGTCTGGCTGCCTGCTGCCTCTGCAGGGCCTCCATGACAGCTTCCAGGCGCAGTCCCCCAGGTGGAGGGGGCACCAGGCGGGGTCCCGAGGAAAGGGCTGCCTGTGAGGGGGGGAATTATGGGTGCTGGACCCTGCCGCCCCCACGACCCCCAACAGAAGAGGCGGTGGTCAGAGATTCAGGGAAGTGCAGGGGGCCAGAGGGAAAAGACAGATGGCCTTCTCCGAGACTGGCAGGGACAGAGGGGCAAAATGAGCATGAGGCAGAGACCCAAAGAGGCAGAAATGGGCACTGCCCGAGGACTGGCAGACACCGAGTAAGCCAAAGGTGACAAGGACCAAGAAACAGAACTGGAGACAAGAGAGAGGGACGGGGAGAGACAATGGATGACAGGGAGACAGGGAGAGAGTCAGAAGTAGGGAGAGAGCAGAGATGAGAGGGGGGCACCGAGACAGAAACAGAGACAGCAGGCAGAGACAGAAAGGAGCAAGGAGAGCCAGAGATGGAATGAGGTGAGATGGATAGATTTGGGTTAGAGCAGGGAGGTGAGAGAGAAGCAGCACACCTGAGTGACAGGCAGTCCAGAGAGACAGAGACACAGGCAGGGAGAACAGAGTGAGACCGGGGTTGAGAGACGGGGAGCCTGACGCTGCGAGAGGCAGAGGCAGGAAAGAGAGCTCGGAAAGACACGGATTCAGGAAACAGACGGGCGCAGAGAGCAGGAGACAGGGGAAAACAGACGGCGACACGCCGCGGAGACGCGGGGCACTGGAATCAGGAGGCGCGGGGGGAGCGAGAGGGCGGCCGGGGCAGAGCCGGCGCTGGGACGGCACCCGGCGGGCCGGGCACGGCGGGGTCTCGATGCCCGCGCTCCAGCTCCCGGCGCCCGGCGGCCACACTCACCAGCCTGGCGCGGCCCGCTGCCCCCGGCGTCTCCACGATGCTCCCTTGCTCCGCCCGCCTCCCGGGCGGGCGACCCTGGCCTCGGCTCGCTTCCCTGCGCCGGGGTACCCCGCGGTGCGCTCCCGCCGGCGCGCGCTCCTCTGGCCGCGGTGCGCTCACTCCGGCGCTGCTGGCCGCGGGGGCGGGACCCGAGCCCGGCCGGGGCGGGCGGGGGCGCACGGAGAGAGCTCCGGTGGGCACTGCCGCTCCCAGCCCCCCCAACAGGTGTCTCCCACCCTCCAAACGGCCAGGTTCAGCGGGGAGGGGCTCTGGAGAGCTGCCGGGAATCTTGCACAGGGAGTGAGAGGTCCACCACCTCTGGGCTTTCAGTCTGCCGCGCTGGACTCCGGGCCAGGGCCCCGCCCAAGCTCGCAAGTCGTGCCCCCGCCTCAGTGCCTGGCATTCATAGACAAACAGCCGTGTCCACACACCAACACACTCGTCACAAGTTCAGGCACCTGGCTGCTTTGTCCCCTCACCTACTTGGTTACCACTGCACAATGACCTGGGGAGGTCCTGATCATGAGGGGGATCACTTTGTGGGAACCTGGGGTGAGTGTGGCAAGCCTGTCCACGTGCTGCACACACTGCAGTTTGTACAATACGTCTATAAAGCAGTGGATTCACACCTCTGCACTTATCAGAGGCCTCTGAGAAGACTGCACACCCACAGCAAGGTACATAGACCACATGCAGATACAGCCGGTTTTTAGCTCTTAGATGATGTTCTGTTATGGAAGATTTCAAACAGCCACACAAGGGCCTCCACGGTGGTGCAGCGGTTGAGCGCTGGGTTGTGAAGCTGCCCGCAGCCTCTGCAGCGCCGGTTCGATCCCCGAACCCCGGGCAAGGGTCCCACATGGCACGCAGATCTCTCCTGCCGTGCCCGCTGCTCCCCTCAGCTGTGTACTTCGTCAGTCTGCCTGTTCTGTTCCCCGCTCTGGCTCTGGTGAATTCTCTCACCCTCCCACGCTTCTGACTGTACCCAGTGCTTGTATAAATAAACAAACAAACAAACAAACAAATAAATCAAACAGCCACACAAGAGTGAACAGCATAGCAGACCTCTGGTACTCATCATGCATTTCAGTAGTGATTACCAATTTGCCTGTCTTTGCACATCCTCCACTCATTTGTGTGACTCCCCAACATGTTTCTCCAGATCCTGTTAATCCACCACTTTTAGTCACTTTATCCCACTTATCTGCCAGATGCTAAGATGCTGTTCCTTTATGGGGGTTCTGAATGGCAAGTCACAATTTCTCCCGTGTGCAGCCTGAACCCCACTCCTCTCAGGCATCCACATACATGCCCGTTTCTTGTGCCCAAAGGTACGGACCTACTAAAATCAAGAGTGCCACCCAGAGGTGATGTCAAGTGTGTGTGAACAACACACATCTGTAGGGGCGACACTTAGCGTGGGTATATAAATATGTCACACCCTACTGGGGGTATCATCCTCTGACTTTATACCCAGTGAGGCACATGTTTCAGAGTAAGAGTCCTCTAAACGGCAGAAATCCACGTGTGACCTTTGCCTCTCCCCTCCTCTCCAAATCAGTTCCCTCCTCTTGGACCCAGCTAGGCCTGGCCCACACTATCAGTGAATCTTACTGGTATCCTCTGGTTGGGTGATACTACCTAACTCTTCCTGTCTCCAGTCCAGCTGCCACTGGCGTATAAGTCCTTGTTCTCTTTAGCCCATCCCTGGCCACACTGAGGTTTGTTCCTGCTCACACCTTTGGCTTGCTCCAGTGCCCTTCTGCACAAACTTTAGAACTGATGGCCAGACCCTCCTCCCCCACGGCTTTGTGTGGTAAGAGTTCTCTTGGGGACAGAGTCAAGCCCCTCCTCTGCCTACCCCTCTTTGAGGCTGGGCCCACGGACAGGCTCAGGGAATGTGCAGAGGCAGGCAAACATGCCATGGGATTCTCCTGAGGCACTGGAGGGCAGAAGGTACATAACTGTGAGACCTCTGTGCCCGGTTGGCTTCCTGGCTGGTAGTTCAAAGAGGAGGTGTCTGGGGCCTCCCTGGTGGCGTGCAGCCTCTGCAGCACGAGTTCAATTCCTGGCCGGCCAGGGAGCAACCCACATGGAGCAGCAGACCTCTCCTGACTTGCCTGCTGCTCCCCTCAGCAGTTTACTTCAGTTAATCTGCCTGTTCTGTTCCCCACTCTGTCTCTGATGAATCCTCTCACCCCCCACATCTCTGGCCTGTACCCCAGCTCTTGTTTGCATAAATAAATCTTTAAAAAAAATAAACAAAGAGGAGGTGTATGGAGAGAGATAGATGATAAGATTCCTCCTGCAAAAGTATAGCTACTGGCTTGGGGAAATTCTAGTTCTGAGGGTTTGGAGATTGCTTTTCAGGGTGCAGAGGAGAGGGGGATGTCAATCAAGTCTTTGGCATCTAGACCAGGAAGGCTGCAACTGGAAAGGGCTGAGAGGAAGGAAAAAGCCTGACTGTGGACTGGTTCAACTCATCTATAGAGGAAGGGTTGTCTCACACACACACAGGCACCTCAGAGGCAGAGCTGGACTTCCGTTCATCCCATGCCTATTTACTAAGCACCAATTTTATTTTATTTTTTTTTAATTAAGATTTTTTTTTTAATAGAGGCATGTTTTATTTGTTTGTTTGTTTGTTTTGTTTATACATGCACTGGGTACAGTCAGAAGCGCGGGAGGGTGAGAGAATTCACCAGAGCCAGAGCAGGGAGCAGAGCAGGCAGAAGGACTGAAGTACACTGCTGAGGGGAGCAGCGGGCAGCAGGAGAGGTCTGCGCGCCATGTGGGACCCTCCGTGGCCAGGGAGCAGCTGGGGATTGAACCGGCGCTGCGGAGGCTGCGGGCAGCTTCGCAACCCAGCGCTCAACTGCTGCACCACCGGGGAGGCCCATAAGCACCAATTTTATACCAGGCACTACTGACCACTGGGGTAAATAAAACAATACCCTATTGGAATGGTGTAATGATATATATATATATATATATATATATATATATATATATATATATATATGTATACACACGCATAGTGTCAAATGGTGATAATTAAAATGGAGAAAAATCTGGGCTGGGAAAATAGGAAAAGTGGTGTGCTAGTTAGTTATGACTGTAACAAATTACACTCAACCTTAGCAGCTTCAAACAACAAATTTATTTTCTCACAATTCTGCGGGTCAGGGATGGGAGGCTGGCTTAACTGGTTTTGGCTCACTGCCTCTCTAATGAAGACTGGGACTGGAGGATCCACTACCAAAATGGCTCACTTGCAAGGCTATAGGCAGGATGCTTTTCTCCCCGGGGGGAACCTCTCCACTGAACTACTGAGTGACCTCCCAACATCCAAGCAGAGAGACTAAATAGGTAGTGATACTTTGTTGTGGGAATCAGACTGTCAGTTCTGTCATATAATATTTGTTAAAAGCATACATCTAAGCCCAGTCCACATTCAGGGGAGAGGAAATCAGTTTGCTTCTTAATGGGAGCAGTATCAAAAACTTTATAGAAGCATGGAGGGACTCACTGAGCAGAAATCAAAGGAGGGGAGGAGGGGAACAATCTGGATTCCTAGGGAAGAGCACTGCAGTCAGAACAGCAGGTGCAAGTATCCTGATATGGATGGAAGTATGTTTGTTTGATGTGTCAGAAAATAGCAAGCAGGCTGCTGGGCTAGTTCTGAGGGTCCCTGAAATGAATGGCTAGATATTTGGTTAGTGGAAACACAGGCCTTGGAGTAGGATCCTGGGGGCAGTGAAAAGACTGAATGAGATGAGATGCCTTTGGGAATATCTGAGCAGACAGTGAAAGTGACTCTGGTTGTTGTGTGGAGAACTCACCTTATATGATGCAAGCATGAGTGCCATCCTTTTTTTTTTTTTTTTTTTAAAGGGGGCCTCCCTGGTGGTGCAAGGGGTTAAGATGCAACCTATGACGCTGTCAGCAACCACTGCAGCATGAGTTTGATACCTAGCCAGGGCTACCCACATGGCACAGCAGACCTCTCCTGTCTCGTCCACTGCTCCCCTCAGCAGTGTTATTTTAGTCAATCTGCATGTTCTGTTCCCCACTCTCTCTGGTGAATCCTCTCACCACCCACACCTCTGGCCTGTACCCCAGTTCTTGTATGCATAAACAAATTAAAAAAGAGATTTACTTATGCATATAAGAACTGGGGTGTAGGCCAGAGGTACAGAGGGTGAGAGGATTCACCAGAGTGGGGAACAGAATAGGCAGACTGAAATACACTGCTGAGGGGAGCCGTGGGCAAGACAAGAGAGGTCTGCTGTGCCATGTGGGTAGTTCCCTAGCCGGGGATAGAAATCGTGCTACAGAAGTTGTGGACAGTTTCACAGTGCTTTGCTTAACCCCTTGTGCCACCAGGGAGGCCCAGTCATCCCTAAAGGTAATAAGCTCAGTGAAATAAGTCAAAGACAAATATTGTATAACCTCATTTATATGTGGAATCTTAAAAAATCATAGAAAAACAGAGAATAGATTGGTGGCTGCCAGAGGCTGGAGATGGGGAAAACATGTAGCCGAAAGAAATAAACCTTCAGTTACAAGTTCCTGGGAAATAATGTACAGCATAAATCGCAGCAGTATGAAGCTACTGCAGCATGAGTTTAATCCCCGGCCATGGAGATAACCCACATGGTGCAGCAGACCTTGCCTGTCTTGCTCATTGTTCCCCTCGGCAGTGTATTTCAGTCAGTCAATCTTCCTGTTCTGTTCCCACGCTCACCCCCTGCACCTCTGGCCTATACCCCAGTTCTTGCATGCATAAATAAATCTTAAAAAAAAGGTAACGTACATGGTGTGCAGACCTCTCCTGCCATGCCCGCTGCTCCCCTCAGCAGTGTACTTCATCACTCTGCCTGTTCTGCTTTCGCTCTGGCTCTGGTGAATTCTCTCACCCTCCCGTGTTTCTGACTGTACCCAGTGCTTGTATAAATAAATAAATCTTAAAAATAACGTATAGATTACAAAATGATTATCACAATAAGGATAGTTAACATCCATCACCTCCCATAGTTACAAATTCTGTTTTTCTTGTGTGACAATTTCCAGATCTACTCTCTAAGCAACTTGCAATAACTATAGTCACTATGCAATAACTATAGTCACCAGAGCCAGAGGGGAGAGCAGAGCAGGCAGACCGGCAAAGTACACTGCTGAGGGGAGCAGCAGGTGGCAGGAGAGGTCTGCGGGCCATGTGGGACCCTCACCCAGCGGCCCCAGACGGAACTGGATGCAGCAGCAGGCAGCTTCACAATCCAGTGCTCAATTGATGCGCCACCAGGGGAGGCCCATATGTTGACATTTTAAACAAATACAATGCAACTTTATCTTGATAAAACTGGAGAAAAGACATAGGTAATATTCAAAGTCACAAAATGGCCAAGTTCACCTGGGAATTCAGAGAAATTTGAGGATTGGGTCCTGAGAAATCAGAGGTTGAGCAGTTACAAAGGATCTAGCAAAAGAGGCAATGAAGAAATATCTTAGAAGCTAAGAGTGATTAACTGTCAAATTAAGGTGGAGAAGAAAACCCCACTGGACTTAGCAACAGACTAGGAAGAGGTTAGGAACCTAGTCCTTATGGGAGGGATGTCTGGGCATCCCTGATAAATGTGGGCTCTGAGCCGAGAGGCAGAACTGGGCTACAGGGGGAAGAAACCCTTGGAGGAGTGACTTTGGAACCCATGACGAGGGGGTAGGTCCCAGTCAGGACACCACAACCAACAAGGTGGTGATGGGTGTTCAGGAAGGTCATTTTGCTTTGACCTCATTCTTTCAGAGCCACAAACTTAAGACTCTTGATGTTTCCAAATGGTTGTGTACTTTTGGGTATTTCTGTTTATTAGAATATCAGGTTTTTATTAGTTCCATCTATTGTTAATATACTGGGAGTCCTAATGAGTGAGTGATCTGGGCCTTTTTCTTTTTTTTTTTTTTTTTTTTTTTATAGAGGCATGTTTTCTTTCTTTCTTTGTTTATACATGCACTGGGTACAGTCAGAAGCGCGGGAGGGTGAGAGAATTCACCAGAGCCAGAGCAGGGAGCAGAGCAGGCAGAAGGACCGAAGTACACTGCTGAGGGGAGCAGCGGGCGGCAGGAGAGGTCTGCGCGCCATGCGGGACCCTCCTCCGGTGGCCGGGAAGCAGCCGGGGATCGAACCGGCGCCGCAGAGGCCGCGGGCAGCTTCGCAACCCAGCGCTCAACCGCTGCGCCACCGGGGAGGCCCGATCTGGGCCTTTTTCAACCTCAGAGCACAGTCAGGATGAAGTAAGTGCCGAGAGGGCAAACACCTGAGGCAACTCTCTTGCTTCACCCAAGTCCTGCTCCTACCAACCTCCGACATCAGACAATGTGCTTATTCCCCACTCCTCAGAGCCCCCACAGAAGTGAGGATCCTAGAAAATGCAGGCCATGAAGGGGAGGAACTCTTGCTCTGGTGAGGGGTGGACATAATCTGGAAAGGTAGGAAAAAGATGGAGGATTATGTCCCTCTCTGTTCAAAAGTGGGTGCACACTGCCACCCTGTGGCCATCCAGGTAAGACTCCCCAGAATGGCAAAGGCAAGACCAAGACACAAACTGCCTCACCCATCCGTGAGATTTTCAAGTGCAGCATTCAAAATTGTGGGATCTTATTATAATAACATGCTGATCCTAAGGTCTCAACCCAGAACTGAGCTGTGGAGACAGACCCAGTTACCTAAAGACTCAATACACCTCCTAAGTGATTACTGAACACACGAAAGTATATTGTCCCTAGTGTGGCCCAAAGACAATGTCTATAAAGTAAGTCACACAAAGGAAAGCCTTTCCAGAGGCCCCCAGGAGTTAGCAGGTTGTCCTGCTGCTGTCACACACAAAGAAATAGAACTGTTCAACAGGTTTTTATTAAGAGACAGACAAATGGTTAGAGAATGCATCAGGGGCAGTGTCTGGAAACTATGATGGGGTATGTGTAGAAATGGCCTTCTCTAGGCCAGAGATGGCCCCCTTGGACCTAAACACACCAGATCCTCTCCCCAGTGGTGGGCCCTGGGCTGAGGTCAATCTCCCCACCATACCCCAGGGAAGGAAGGTGGTCATTTAGGACAGGAGGCCTTGGACCTCAGCATTCTCCATTCTTCTGGTTCCCCAGCCAACTTGATTGCTGAAAGGGTGGGTCCCAGACCATGAGGGCACTTGCATAGCAGGGGAATAGATGGGGGTAAGGCATATGGTGAGGACAGGGAAAGGAAGGGGAAGAGCATCATAGCTGCGGGTGAAGGGGGCCTCCAGAGGCAGCTCGTCTTCCCCGAGGCCCTCCTTTGCTGCTGGGTTGAGGGGTCAGACCCAGGCAGAATACAATACCCACCTCCAACCCTAACTCCAGAGCCCTGAGTGGGGTCAGGAAAGCTCTGGAAAGGCCTGAGTTAGTGAGTCAAGCTTGTGATATGTGTTTGAACATGACTGGCCCCCTTGGCATATGTGGGGAGCCCTCTCTGGATGGGTATGAATGCATGATGCGCCCATACACACAGGATTCAGTATCTGAATGCGTGTCCCATATGTTCCCACGGATCTGTTTGGTTATATAAGCATGTATGTCCCTGCTTGTATGCCAGGAACTCAGTATCTGCATGTTGTGAGTATGTCCCTGTCTTTTCACAAGGGATCCAGTATGTGGATGTGTGCGGGCCTGCCCGCTCCTGTTCATCCACAGGTCCTCTTTTCAGGCCTGGTTGGTCAGGGGTCCTGGCCGAAGAGGTAGGTGGTGAGCTCAAGCCGGAGGCCCCGAGCATAAGCTCGAAGAGTATAGAAGAAGGTGAGGAAGTCCTGCGTGCTGAAGATCGTGTCGGCCAGCGCAAAGGCCAGGGTAGATGGGATGACACCCCGGCCGTACTCCACCATCCACGTGTTTGGCCCCCATTCCACAGCCGTTGCCTCGCCAGGCCCATGCACCACTGTCTCCCCTGGGGGACAGGGAGCACTCATGAGCATTCTAGCCCCGCTGCTGCCCTTCATTACTGCCATCTCCCTGGCCTATGAGCTATCTAGGGGTAGGGGATGGAGAGAGAGCTTTAGGAAAATGAAGAAGCCTTTCCTCCCTGGCCCCTTCTCCCATCTGGAGGGTAGGAGGCCAAGAAAACCTCTCTTAAATTCAGTTCTGTGGCATCACTTGCTCTTGGGGGAAACAAAGGCAGTCCACCTCACCTGACCATGATAGGGGTGTCATGGAAGTCTGTATTCCCAAGCCTCACTCACATCTAGCAGAAATTTAGCTGAACTTCTGCTAGGCCCATTAGATAGGGAAGGGTGGTTACAAGATTCTTGAGGCTTTCAGAGAAAGGTAGCTATTCAGTTACAATCCCTGTTGTGCTTATAATATTCGACCTCAAACTTATTTGGGAGTTCTACTTTTTACATAAATTGCTCTACTTTTTATATAAATTGCATATATATAATTAAGTGAAAAAATACTGTCTACCTTATCCCTTGGGGCAATAGGAGAGTATTTCTGAGTACCCAATTGTCTTCCCAATAACTGTTAGAATACTGGCTGAAGAGAAGCCAATTATCTTGAAAATAATAATAATAATAATAAACGTGTCCTGGCAGATAAAAATCAGACATGGTTAAAGGAAGCCATGTTTTGCTTCCTTTTCACAGAGTAAAGCAACAGGGGCCCTTGTCTTGGCTCAACTACCTACCTGTGGCATACCTAGGACTAAGGGAACCAGGGAGAGAGCCCTCACCACACTTCTTTTCCATGCCATAGCTCCCTCCCCCGTCTCTGCTCACCCCAAGAGAAGGGCCCCGCCTCTCGGACCGAGCATCCCTACCTACCTGGGTAGAAGACCTCACTTTTGGTAGTGCCTTCTCTCCACTGGTGAAAGGTGCCAGAGATGATGGTGTCCGAGATCTCAGCCCAATAGCGCCCTGAGGGACAACAAAATGGACACCGAATATCAGGGCATCAGCACCATCACACAGACTGGCCAAACCTCAGAAAGGAGGGCATGGGCCCTAGCACAGCCCGAGCCTCCCGCTCCGGCCCGTCGCCAGCACTGACCCGAGTGGCCGCCAGAACCCAGGGCGGTGCCGAAGAGCAGCACGTACTCTGTCAGCGAGGCGTGCAGAAGGCACATGGCGCCCATCCAGCCGCCCGCGTTCACGAACACCCACTGCAGCTCCTCGTCGGGCAGCACGTGGCCTGGGTGCAGCTTCCGCAGCTCCACGATCAGCCGAGAGAAGGCCAGCTCGTGGTCCAGCCCTGGGGGACAGCAGCGTGAGGCGCAGCACCGGCCCCGAGCTCGGGAACGGCCCCCCCGGGGCCCCCACTCGGCCCCGGCCTCCCCGGGCGCCGCCCCGCCCGCCCGCCCGCTCCCCCGCCCGCTCACCCGCGTACTGCCGGGCCAGCTGCGCGATCTCCTCGCGCTGGAAGACGAAGCTCTGCGCGCCCAGCCAGAGCCTGACCGCCTGGGCCAGCACGGCCGCGGCCGCCAGCAGCAGCGCGGCCCACACCCACCGCCGGCCCACGGCCCACTGCATCGCGGCGGGCGGCCTGGCGCGGGGAGGCGGAGGAGGGGGCCCGGGCCCGACCGCGACGCCCGCTGCCGCCGAGCTGCGGCGCCGTCCACAGCCCGTTCCCCCGCCACCGCCGTGGTCCGGCGCGGCCCGGCCAATCGGAGCGCGCGGGCACCCGGGCGCCGCCCCCCGGGCGGAAGTGTGTTCTCGCGGGAAGTGGGAGGTGCCGAGGGCGGGCGGGGCGGGGCGGGACGCGGGGCGAGGGGCGGGGCCTCCAGCGAGCGGCGCGCGGCGGGGCGGCCGGGCAGCGGCTCTTCCGGGCCGGCTTGCGGCGGGGCGGCGCGGGAGGGAGACCCCGGAAGGGCAGGCCCGCCCGGCTGGGCTGCGGCGCGGGGAAGCTGACCAGCCCGGAAGCAGGCCTCCCCGGCGCCCCGAGACTGCCAAGGCCAGCCTTTGCTAGCGCAGAAGATGGGGGGTCCTCTACCTGGAGGTTTAGGGAAGGCTTTTTGGAGGCGGTGACACTCCCGCAAGTTTTAAGAGATCTGGGAAGGGCCTTCCAGGCGGAGACCCACTCCAAGAGCAACGGTGCCCGGGAATGAGACAGCGTTGGGGCTTCTGAGGCCTGCAAGTCATTCATTGTTCTGAAGCAGAAGAGGTCAATGTGTTACAGGGCAGGGATGGGGGCACCCCAGACCCCGCAAACCTGCCTGCTCTCATTAGGTTCTGTCATCTGCTCCATCAACACAAAACATATGAGACTTTAATGGGAAGGAACTTTAATACAATTAGGAAACAATACAGGAAAGGCAAAGAATATGGTTTCTAAATCAACTACCCAAAGTTACCTGTCCCCTTGGGGGTAAAAGTCCACCCAAGCAGGATTGGCCCAGAACAAGGCCCCCCAAAGCCTGCCACAAGTCTAAAGCATCTTCCAGTGGGGACCCACAGAAAAGGATCAGAAACCACCAGACAAGTCTGGAAGGAAATGAGCAAAATCAAGACAAAAGCCGCTATTGTCACCTCCCCACGGGTCTCCCACCCACATCTGTGTCAACCAGTCCATGATCAAAAGGCACGTGCAGTTTCTTCACGTGTCTCTCGGCTCCATGCACCTCCTCCAGGTCTCCTGGCTCCATCCTGCTTCCTTCCTTCCTCAGTCTCCCTTGCAGCTTCTTCTCTCCCTGCTCAGCTCCACCCTCCTTTTGGGTGGGGCAGGAAACCTGGAATCTCCCCCTTTCCTGGGGACCACCCCGTTACACTTACAAACCTGTTGGGGATTGTCAACAAACAGGAGAGTGATGAGATTAGATTTTCCTATGCAGTGGGAAGGGCCTACAAAGTAGAGGGGAACAAGATGAAAGTTGGACCAAGTCTACAGTCAGAAAGACAGGAGGCCTAAGGGTTAGGTCTCAGCGCCCCTGAGTTCGATCCCCAGCCAGGGAGCTAACCCATATATGCCCAGCAGACCTCTCCTGTCTCATGCACTGCCCCCCTTAGCAGTGTATTTTGGCAAATCTGCCTTTTCTGCTCCCCGCTTTTGTCTCTGATGAATCCTCTCACCCTCCCGCCTCCTACTTCTGGTCTACATCCTAGTTCTTCTATGCAAAAATAAAAAAGAGAAAGACAGGAGGTCTGTGTCAGTGGAGATGAAATAGAAATGAACTTGAGAAGTACTCTGAAAATATAGTTGGCAGGACCTGTTTTCTTCTTTCTGAAGTACTCTTCCTCTTCATCCTAACTCCATCCACCACCTCTGAAGGAAAACACACACACACACACACAAAACAGCAAAAAATGGGCTGCACAAGCCACATACTTCCCCTTACTTGGCTAAAATCCTATTCATGTCTAATGGACAATTGAATGCTCAGGTCTGGTGTTCAGATCCAGTCTCCAGATAGTGAACTAGGAGTTACCATTCCATCAGGCAACAGGTACTTTGTTAGTGCCGTTATGTGCCAGGTTCTGAGGTGACCACTGGGGAGATTGCCATAAAGAATGTAAGCATGGTCCCACCCAGCTTAGAGTGCACTGGGGAGCCTATAGGAAAGGTGGTAATTAAAACCATAGAGTGGATAAAATGTCACGGGCAGGGAGAATTGAGTAAGAGAAGATTGAGGACAGAGTCCTAAAGAACACCAATAGTTAAGGAAAAGGCAGGGGGAAAAGAGACCCAAAATGAAGAGAAGCAAAAGAGAAAAGAGGCAGTATACTGCAGTGATTAAGAACCTCTGGGTTAAACACCTGGCTCCTGCTACCTACTAGTTGTGTCATCAGGCAAGTTACTTGAACTCTGTGACTCAGTTTTCTCATATGTAAAATGGGATATATAAAAGTCCCTACCTCATAGTACATACCTAAATAGTGATGGAGATTGGATGACTTCATAATTAGAAAACAATTAGTGCCTGGCACATGGTGTTATATGTGCTAGTTATATAAATAAAACATAAAGGTGAACAGAACTGGAAGAGAGTAGCCTCACACATGGGAGTGATGGAATGAAGGGTCAAACAGTCAGATGTAATTGACAGGTCCAATAAAATGATGGGACATGACCATTAGGTTTCTCAGCAGGACCATGTAGCAGAGATAATGCTATACATTCACAAATCCTTTTGTTTTGCTTTTATCCTTGCTTTTGCAAGGGTAGCTAGGTACATTCCATAATCTAGTTAGATGAAGCCGCTTGATTATGTTCTAGTCAATGAGATGTAGGTATAAATAGTGCATGCCACTTTCAGTTCTGATTCCTAAAGTTAGCTTTGAAATTACTTATATTTTCTCTGTTTCCCTCATCTATCATTGTGTAACCAGTGGCAGAAGCCAAAGATTATTACAGGCGGTGTCCCCTAGAGAGGGGAGCTGGTGAGGATGCATAGCCCCAGTGAAAATGTGAACAAAGTATTTCATTTTGGGGTGGAGACTGATAATAAATATAAGGGACTGCTGAAGCAACTCCCAGGATTCGGTGTTCCGGATTTAGCGTTGGAGCATTCAGCGTTTGGGGTTCAGCTTTTTTGGATCTTCAGTGATTCCAGAGCCAGAGATTTCGGCCCCCGCCATGCCAACCTTCCAGAAGGCTGTTGAGGGCCTCTGAAGGATGTGGAGAGGCTTCCAGCAGCCAACCTCAGAGAGGAAAAGTTTGGAGGAATTGCAAGTAGCCAAGCGACTGAAACTGCTCCTGGTTTTGCTGCTATTACAGCCTGGCAGAGAAGGTGAAGACCTGGAACCAGGCACCTCGCTAAGATGCATGAGTGGGGCGTTTGTTGGGTCATTTGCCCACTGCAGCTGCTGGTTTTTGTTGTTTTTAAGCGGGACTGGCTTCATTTTTAAAAAATATTTATTTATTTATAAATATAAGAACCAAGGTGCAGGCTAGAGGTGCAGGGGTGGGGGGTGGGTGAGAGGATTCACCAGAGACAGAGTGGGGAACAGAACAGGCAGATTGACTGAAATGCACTGCTGAGGGGAGCAGCGGGTGAGACAGGAGAGGTCTGCTGTGCCATGTGGGTAGCTCCCTGGCTGGCCGGGGATTGAACTTGTGCTGCAGAGGCTGCCTATAGATTCACAGTGCTGTGCTTAACCTCTTGTACCACCAGGGAGGCCCCTGAAGCTGCTGTTTTGAGTGTCATTTGTCTGGTGATGTGCTGGGGCATCTCGGTTGCTCCAGGAACATCTCCTGTTGAGTGTTCTGTTGTCTTCATGAGTTGGAACCTGGCCTATAGTCTGGCTGCTGTGTGTCTGCAGTGGCAGGAAGATGCCATCTTGTGAGTGTGGTTTATTGTTTGGGAGAGGAGCTCTGCGTCTTCAGTGGTGGGAAGACACCATCTTAGCTGCCTTTGGTTTAGAACTTAAAAACACTAGACACTGATTCAGGTGAGGTAATTGGCCATTTTTTGGCCTCAGTAACTCTTTGCTTTTCCTTGGTTTCTTAAATAAATCCCATTATTGTTGTTCTCTGAGCCTGAGTAGTCTTGCAATTGTGCGCGTGGGTAAAGAACTCAGACAGTGACCAATAAACTATTTGGGCAGTGTCTTTGGCCAATTTTAGAGTTTTAGTGCCCCTTGCTGCCTTTTATCACTTCTAGCTGGTGGACTCTAGTGCTAAGCCCCTGACTTTTGGGCATAGTTTGTTATAGCAACTAAGATGATTTACCTTGGTTAATATGGGGCAAAAAACACATTACAGTGTACTGTGCAAGTAAGAATGAAGGCTGGGAACATGGACTGTGTTTTGAGAAACTTGGCCAGGAAAGGAAAGATAAAGAGGGGGTTATCTAGTGGAGAATGCAGGGCTGAGGGAACAAATTTTTATAATAACTCTGGTTTCTGTGACTCTCTTGAGCTAACTATTCTCTAAGAATCCTAACAGGAACTCGCCCAAAAACCTGGCTTCTGTTCTAGGAAGAGCCCTCTGGTACTATCTAGGGCCCAATCTGGTCTTTCAAAAAGCTTCCCCAGTGCACATTATTTAAAAAAAAAAAGAAGAGTGTCCTATGACCTTAACAGTCTCTGTGACCACAGGAAGCAGAATAAAGGGAACTGGGGATCACAGCCATCTTCCCCCGATAATCTAGCAGACATCACACCTCTGAGATCTTGAAGAAAAGGGGCTGGTTAAGACACATCTCAGCCATTTTTCTTTTCTCCAGCAAAGTCAACTTGAGATACAGAGGAGAAGTTGGGAGATGTTTCTGAGAACATGTCCCTCAAGGGGAGAAGGAATTAGTTGGCATGATTCAGGAAGTGGTACTTAAACCTCGGTGTTCTTGAGAAAATGGGGCTGCCTCCAAAATCCAGTCACCCAAACAATAAAGACTATAATCAATATAGATAAGCAAATCTTTTGGGCCTCCCTGGTGGCACAAGGGGTTAAAGTCCCAGAGCTATCCAACTATCAGCAGCCACTGCAGCACGAGTTCAATCCTCTCCAGGGAGATACCCACATGGCACAGCAGACCTCTTCTGACTCACCTGCTGCTCCCCCCAGCAGTGTGTTTCAGTCAGTCTGCCTGTTCTGTTCCCCACTCTGTCTCTGGTGAATCCACTCACCACCCCCCACCTC